TTGTCCCACCTGGTGGTCGTAAAGACTGATGAATCACTCTATCCCTCAGGTGTCACCTTCAGCTCTTACATGTCTACCAAGGTGATATATCTACTTTAAAAGGTGAAACAGAGGGTTCAAGAATTTTATTTCTCTCAGGTGATATACTAATTAAAAAGACCTGGTTCCAAAAAACCCTTCCACAAGGGGGATGATTACACAGAGTTCCAAAAATTCTTACCTCTAAAATATGGTTACAGGGAGTGAGTACAGAGGGTTCCAGAAATAATGGCAATTTTTCAAAATGTAGTAATGGAGGGATCAGAGAGATGTCTACCTCAAAAACATATAGTACTGGAAGGTTCAAGCAGTGGCTGCCTCCAGAGAGTAGCTACAGGGTATTTCAGAAACACCTACCAATAAATGCATAGTTACAGAGGATTCCAGAAATATCTACTTCTTCAATCAAACAAGGAAAATAAAATTAATTTCAAATACTCTCCCACCCTTCCCTACTGATCTTCTAGATCCACTTCTCAATAATAATAAAAATAATAATAATAATAAATACAATAATAATAATAGTAATATTGACATTGGAAATATTGACAAAGCTGCTTTTTTTCATGATTTATCATTTGAGTCACCCACAAAAACATACTCTCTCAGGCATTATTGCTGCTCATCTTTTAAAACTCTCTATATATCTGCTGCAGAAAATACTCTCTCATCATTGATTGCTTTTATGAAGTAATATTTATATTAACTAAATTTGTTTAATAAGCACACTGAATAATTTCAACATGCACTGGTTCACTCCCAATGAAATCATGACTGTCATAACACAATAAACAGTTGATGTATCTTTGTAATTAATAGGGAGTTCACAAAAAGAGTACCCGCAATTACTAAACAGGGGACCTTCAATCCATTATGATATGAAGTTTAAATAGGAAACAAAAACTGCAAGAAATGTTCTGTTATGTGTGATGCCCTGTGAAGTCATTAGTGTCACAATGCTGTGGAAAAGAGATGTGTCTTAGTCATAGATAAAGAATTGCTCCATTTACTGTAATTTATTTCTGGTCTTTAAAATGTCTATGGGGAGATGATACGTTTCACTATAGGCATTTTCACATTGCATATAGGGACTTAAACATTGAGTATAGGCATTTGAAAAATTTTTAAATGTATAGCTGTCTTTGAAATTATTAGCCATCTTTTGAAACCAGATGCAGCAAATGACTGCTGGTTTGCTTTCTCTGCCTTGCCTTATAACAATGTTGCAACCCCCTCTCGAGAACTTTGACTGTTCAATGATGATTCATCTAAGCAAGGAAGTAATGAAGTTAACATATAAAGCTGAAACTATTTTGCAACACCAGTTAATTATTATTGCAATAAGACTGATTTAAGTATTGGTAAAATATATAAAATGTACAGTTGAGTCAATATAAAATATTAAGCCAATGCTCGTCAAATAAAAACTATAATGACTGTCACTGCAATTATTTTTTTCATAATTTGATATTATTTTACTTTTAACATACATTTATTCCTGCCTCAAAGAAATGTTCCACATTCAGCAAACTTTTTGAATTTGCACAATTCCAGAATTCAAAGCCAGGCATTTTTCACAAAACAAATAAACATGATGATATATGACTTACAAATAACACAGGAAAACTTCTGCACCATTCTTTCTTGTACTTATCATGTGCAATCAATGTAAATACTTTTTAAAAAGTTATAACAAGTACAATGTATATTTTTACAACATGTAAAATGCTCTCACATTAAAATAATAATAATAATAATATGACAGCTCATAAATGTTCCTTGAAAGATAAAATAATACACTCTCAGGAAGACAGCTAATAGATCTAACAAAACAAGAACAATAATGCAATTTGACAGCCAATAAATGTGACATGACAAGACCAAAATAATTAATAGCACCACCACTGCAATGACAGCCTGTCTGCATAAAATAAAAAGTTGTTCATATTTTCTGGAAAATCCAAGAGATTTTTCCACTTTCAGCTACAATGACAAAGCATCAGATATCAAAAAGCAAGTCTCACATATTTGAAAAATCTTCTTTCTGAATCACCTGAAAAATGAAATCATTTTCACAATGGCACAAACCAAATTCCTGACACTTTAATAAGCAAAAGATTAGGACACAGAACTCAAAATCATTCAAATAGTGTCTTTTTCCTCCATGGCCAACCAGGCATCTCTTGCTATAAGCACCAATTTCTTATCTCCAAAAGCGAGATCAGGAACAACCTCCTTCATGTCATCCATAGTCAGGTGTTCTAGCACTTTGCCACGAATTTTGGCTGTCATAAACGTTGTAACTGTCTCAGCATCTAGACCAAGACTGTCCAGCCATGTACGGACATCAATTATTGACCAATCAGCCATCTTCTTAGTTAGCTGCTGAGCAGCATCAAAATCTGCATTTTTTTCAGCTTCTCGGGGTTTTAGTGCTAGATCTTCCTCCGTGTTTGCGCTGGATGAGCCTTTACCACCTTCTGCCTGCTGAGAATCCCCACTTTGCTTATTTTCATCTCCAGATTTTTGGTCATTTTTAAACTGACGCATGTCCACTTCAGAATTGGTCAAGTTTATTTCAGCTACATCTGACTGTAGATTGGAAATGCCCTGATTGTCCTCTGCTGAAGTTGTGTTCCTCTCACCCCCTTCTTTCTGCTCTGCTTGAATTTCCGCTTCATATTTCTTTCCAGATTCATTGTCCTTTCCTTTTTCAGTTGAACTAACAGGTGCATCACCAGCGCCATCTGTTGGTGACTTTTTGGTCACCTCTCCTGTGTAAATATTGTTCTCGATGGGTCGCCTCTGGTACCGCTTCCCTGTTATGTTTCTCCTATCCTGTTGAGCATTTACTTTACGATTGGCAACAATCATGTCAATCACAAATTTCCCATAATCCTCCTGCTGTTCTTGCAAAGATTTCTGGGAAGGTGAGGATTTCACTGAGCTTTGGTTTGGTGTTGTCTTGGTTGGTGAACTGCTGCTACTGCCATCTACAGCAGAGGCCAAACTGCCGTCTGCATTTTCAGTCAATGGAGAACTTTCTGATTTAGAGGAGTTATCATTTGGATCAACCTTTTTTCCACTGGCAGATTCAAATATAAATTCAAAATTTTTGTCATCAATAACGGGGGTTGTAACATCTTCAGGTAAGACATACTCACTGCCAAACAATGCTCTGATATCATTGGACCTGGCTCTCTCAACTGCTGTCTCTCCTCTCTGAAAATATAAAATATGACGCACCAATCAGTATAATAGCTGATCTTTAATCACCTTTAGGGTTCCATTCTAGGCTTAATTCTGTAACTTAAAATATGATGTATCAATATGTGCAGATTTACTTGTTGGTCTTCTTAGTATTAATCTGAAAAGTTTGGCTCTATAGTGAATATAAATGAAATCATAAAATAAATTTAAGATTTCTTCTAATGTCAAACATTATATATTTGTCAATGATTCATCCTATTTCAAATTAATATTATATACATCTAAGAAAACCATTGTTAAACATAATCATTGTCCTATTTTAAATGAATACATAATATCAAATCAATCTAACAAAACCTCTGTTTAACATAATCACAAGGTCAGCCTGGTCAATACTCACCACACCCTTCACAGTGGGGTCCAGACCTGCCTCCAGCAGCACTCTGACCACTGCCCCGTGACCCCTGTCTACTGCCCAGTGGAGGGCTGTCCACAGGTTCTGCAGGGTGAGGAAAAAATATGTCATTAAATGTGTGTGTGTGTGTGTGTGTGTGTGTATGTGTGTGTGTGCATGTGTGCAATTTCTATTCTAAGTTGCAAATTACTGAGATCAAACTGTACAGGAGTACATAAGAATGGGTGCGTTTACATGGCATGAGTGTGAGCAATCATATACATATATCTATGTACATGTAAAAACATGAGACATTAGACACTTACAGTTCCCTGACAAGACATGAGACATTAGCCACTTACAGTTCCCTGAGTGGTGGCGTCACACTTGGCATCAATCAAGGCCTGAGCTACACCAGGGTGACCGTGGTAGGAGGCGAACATCAGGGGAGTAAAGTCTGCCTAGGGGGGGAAGAGAACCATGGTTGAGAACATGAACTATTCAGTCCACTGGTCACTTGGAAGTAGCATACCTCAGATAATTATTAATTTCAAAATTACAAAAAAAAATGGGATGTGTTCACAATGCACTATCTCACTGGGTAGTTCAAACTAACTCTGCTGGGATTCTCGCTGAATGCAATCAGATTAAAAGATTAACATGCCTCCTCCAGGCACTGAGAATAACAAAGAAAAGATGGTGATTATTACTAGTACACTGATAAGAAAAGGAGGCATGCCATTCAGTTCATCTGATTGCAATCAGTGAGTTCATACACAGTTGGATCTATCTACCTAGTATGGTAGTAAGTACAGTATAGTATGGTAGTAACTATGGACACACCCTAGGACAGCTGCTTAAATCGTATTAAGTCTAACTGAATGAAAATATTTCAAAATATTTGTTACTAGTCTGACACCAAATCTAAGAGTCAGTTTCCTAGAACCTTTCCTAGAAGCTGACAATGAAGACTGTACAGGTACTACAGCTACATGCACACTACCTCTCCCTCATCACTGCTCTTCAGGTCCACATCACAGCCAGCATCAATTAACATGGCAGCTATCTGCCCCAGCTTGTCTTCATCTTGTGTGCGACTTCTGCAGGTTTCATGTAGAGCTGTACGTAGATCCTGGGGTGTTTCATAAAAATATTGTATTTATAAAGAGTGTTTTAAAAATATTTTTCTCTTGTTTGGAAAATTCATATTATTATTATTATTATTATTATTATTATTTTTTTTTTTTTTTTTGGGGGGGGGGGGTCATTCCAAATTAAGGTACTGCCTTTATTTGACTTTGCATTTTTTTTCTTGATTTTCCATTTTTTTCAAGGCTAGTTACCATTTCAGATTAAATGTTTCCCAAGCTTTGTCTCACCTTATTCATGAGGTTGACGTCACAGTTGGAGTCTATAAGAAGCTTGACACACTCTGGTTGACACCAGTAACAAGCAGTGATCAGGGGGCTCCAGCCATTCTGTAAAAACAAACAACCTTGTTAATATTTATTATTTGAAGGAGGGCACCCCCATCCCAACTGTAAGTTAGAGGCAGTGATTAGGCAGCTCCAGTCATTCTGAAAATACACAGCACCATGTTAACACTTTTTGAAGATTATACCCCCCCCCCCCACACACACACAAGGTAGTGGCAGTGGTTGAGTGGTTTCAGCCATTCTGAAAATATACAATGACAATATACAATTCCTTATTATCTCATCCTGTGTGTAATATAACAGTTACCTTATCCTGTGTGTTAATCTCAGACCCAGCCTTGATCAGCATCTCCATGATGTCAGCATGCCCCTTCATAGCTGCATGGTGCAACGCCAGATTACCACGCTGAAACAAATCACACCACAAATATCAACATAGGGAATTTTTAAAAAAATTTTATGAAACCCATATCTTACAGCTGAATTTGTGTAAATTCCACCTTGTGGAAATTCAGCAGTGGCATTTTTGTTACTCTTTTGTTTAAAATTAGTTTTATAGATTTCATTTAAGGACTATTAATTTCATGAGGCTTACTAGTCCAAGTGGACAGTAGAAGTGAACAGTTTTTCAAAGCATTCATCACCCATATGATCAACATATTCCAAAATACAGTTCTTTACTTTTCTTAATACTTAAATTATAATTACAACAGCAGAAAACTCGGTGGGAAAGTTTAAATCATTCTCCATTGATTTCACCTTCTTTTTGTATGTCCACAAGTCCAAGTTGGCAGCAGGGTGAAAAGTTTAAGGCCAACACTATACTAGTAATAGAAATCCATTCATTGATACTTACATCATCAACCACATTAACATTACAGCCAGCATCAATCAACATCTGTACAATCTCTGCCTTGCCTTGGGAGGCCACATGTATGGGGCAGGAGTTATGCTGGAGAAAACAAGGATATACAGAAGGATAATATAACACTACAGTATGAATATCTGGTAGGCCCGTAGCCAGCAATTTCAAAAGGGGGGTTCTTTTTCTGAAAAAATGGACCTTTTACCATGAGACCTTCTTTTACCTAAATAAAATTTTACCCAGAAGGGACCTTTTTACCAGCAAAAGGAGGGTTCTTTCAAACCCCCCGAACCCCCCCCCCCCGGCTATGGGCCTGTTAGACTAGGAATAACATGTGTTTGAGAATAGATTCAAAAACTGGGGTTGTGAATGATACCCAAAGCAAATGGTTATTGATATCAAATTGGGACCAATTCCCATTGACATCATCAGTGTATGTGGACCAACCCAACTCTGCGTAACAGGAGTTTAGCTGGAGAAGACAAAGCTATACTGATGGATAATACAACACTCCTGAATGAATTATATCTGGGAATTATGAGAACATGTTCATAGGCATAAAACTGGGGTTGTGCACTGAAACCAAAACACATCCTTGATCATATTAAATTGATAAATTTATCTATGATTTACTACAATTTACTGGTTCAATTCCATTATTTATTTATTGAATATTTCACTTTGATAAGAATTAATTTTATTAATATCAGTCCTGACAGTTGAAATATACTACAGTGGCTCCACCTACAGTATAAGACACCCAGTTGACATCGATGCCTTGCTGTATGAACTCCTCAACTTTCTGGATACGACCAAAACCACAGGCCTCCCAGAATGCCTCTTGCCTACTCGCTGCCTGGCCCATTTTGTCACTTGTATATCAATCTCCTAAAGCTGAAATGAGTAAATATATAGAAGAAAGGAACACTTCAAATATTATGTCAATAAGCGAATGTTATTTTTATTTATTTTCTTTTTCTTTTATTTTTGATGCAAGGGGTCACTCCCAGTGAACAATTAACTTTTTATGTCAGAAATTAGTAATTGACCTTCCTTCTAATATGAGTCTCACAGTTGTTCCTTATATAAAACATTAATCCAAGTTCTTGTCTACCTGACAGGGCAGTGGACAAGGGATAGTGATTAATTTTTTTTTCATTGATCAATACAAACACATAACAAAATGGACCTGATCATCATACAATCGTAAATATAGATTACTGGAAGGGAATCTATTGAGTGCAGATTTGGGTGAGTGCACAAACCAAAGGAAATGTTTCTGAATACTTAGAACTAAAACAATCTGACTTCAGGCCCTCAAGTTTCAGTGACTGGACTTAAGTAAACACACATTATTTTCGTCTTTTCTTTTATCATCCTTCAGGTTAACCTTGCCTCACCTATACCCCTTATTCGATTGCAATCCCCAGTCTTGATACTACAATGTACTGCACTCCTTGTGAAGTTCCATGGAAGTGATTTGAGAGAAAGTTCTGATTGCAGTTTCTTGCCAGAGTTCCGTCTGGCTCAGGACGTGATACGGAGCAAATAAAATGTTATCTTATTTACAAAGTTAAATATACAAAATCCTTGTAGTAACATCATCATGCGATATGAAAATTTTCACTAAGATGTAATTTGAAAAAAAATCTCCTTAAAATCTTTATTTAACAAATATTCCCAGCTGAATTTCGTCTGCGGTCTATTACATCCGGGCAATTATACGACTTTTAACAATGGCCGAGGACTTACAAGAAAGTTTGACGAATTATAAATTGCAATTACAACAGGTGAGAAGTAAAAAATCAAACAGATAATTCGTGTCATAAAACGCTTAGTGTTTCAAGTATATTTAAGGCGTGCCTGTGTTTTACATTAGCGACGAAAACTAAAGAATCTACCATAACATTAGTCGGTGTCAAGACAAATTCGCCGACTCGACACAAGACTCAGCAACTAGTGCGACTGGAATCAGCTGCACCTGGGTAGTATTTTTAAGATTAGCGATACGTAAAGTGCACAGAAAATAATTCTGTATTGGTTGTTTTCATTTACTTTCTGATGTGCACTTCTTAACGTCTACATATCAAAAGGACCACAAGCGCGTGCGCACACGCACACACCTCTACGAACACGCGCGCTCTACTGCACACACACACACACACACACACACATTGTTGTCCATATTACCGCAGTGATGATATTTATTGAATTAGAAACATTTTATCTTTATCTTCAGGTGGAAGCTGCTCTCACAACAGATCCCAGTAATGCTGACCTAAATAAACTCAAGGTAGATTTACAGGTAAGTGAATAGACAATGACAAAGATGTATAACAACAGCCTGTTTATATAAGGCGTGAAGATGTAATCTGTAGATAATAAAATTTATTAAAAACAGTGACTATACTTTTCATAACTGGTTGTGACTTTGAAAAATCCAATTTATAGTTTGACATAGAATCAGGCAGTCCTTTATAAATTTGTAACTTGATATTTTATCCAAATAATTGTCAGAATTTTTTGTACCCCTATCAGAGACTATTTTTACTAAATTAAAACATATAACTTGACTTCCAAACTTTCCAGGAGGTGATAAATTTAACAGTAGACCTGATAAAGAACCAGGCAGGTGCTGTAGCTACTGCTGTCGTCGCTGCTGCTACATCTACTGATGACAATGAAACCTCTACAGCAACACACAGCTGGAATGTTGGAGACAAGTGCTCTGCTGTATACTCAGAGGATGGCATGTAAGTGCAGACATGCTGAAAACTTTTCAGAATGGCCGGACATTTGGACCGGTAGTAATGAAAAATTTGCCAGACCGAATGGATTTTTGTCGGACCGAAAATCACCCTGTTCATTTGAGACAGATACTACCAGAACGATTAGGTAGCTTACTTTGTTTGTGAATGTGATAGGTTTGAAATGGAAGGGAAAAAACGCTTTGGGTTTTATATAATTTTATTAGTGCAGTATGTCGAATGATGACTGTAAATTCAAAATTGCGGTTCTTAAAACTCTTGTCAGTCCTTTGGACCGACCAAGTCCAATTTTTTACTGGTCCAGACAAATTTTCCCAGTCATGACCGATCAGACCGACAGTTTCAGCATGTCTCTAGTGTATAGTGACAGAACTGAAAGTGTGCAGTATTGGTTTAAACAGATGCTTTGCCTTATATGGATTGTAAGTGTAAATGGGAAGAATTGTATAAATGTTTTTTAACAGTATGGTTGTAGCAAATGCTCTAGATACCTCATATTGGGAGGCTGGATTGAAAATGTCAAATATGACAGTTCCTAATGTTTCATGACTGTGTTCTGTTATATTTTTGATACTGCTCTCCTCACTAGTATTGGATGATTTTACCATATGTGTTAGTTGATAATAAAAATCGGAATATTTTCAGAAATTATAATTATTTGAATCATGAGTTTAAAACTTTAATATTACATGAATATATGCACTCATTTATGATGCATTAGAATAAATAAATAAATAAATAAATAAATAAATAAATAAATAATTAGCTCATGATATTGATGAAATTGATCAATGCTCTGTGTTCTGTTTTGTTTTCAGGTATTATGATGCAGTTATAGATGAGGTGTTGGAAGATGGTTCTTGTACTGTGACATTTGAAAGCTATGGTAACACAGATCTAACTCAGGTAGTGCTCTCAGTAAAATGGTGAATTGAGAGATATATGAAATGATACCTAGTGATGTGTGAAAACAGAAAAAAAATACTCTTAACTTAAAAGATTTTTTTCACAAAAAAACTGTGATGAATTTTGATATTTAAATTCTATATTGAGTGTAGCATTTTGCTATAAAATGATCTGTTGAAAAAGACCATCTATTTGATGTTAATATAAATAGCAGAGGTCAGCTTTGGTTGTTATCAGTTCTACTGTCTGATCTTTTATCAGCTCTGATGTTTGTTCTCTAGGTATCTTTACTCAAACCGCGGGATTCCAGCCTGAAGCGTGCGGCCGGTGAGGAGGCCGAGGGTAGCGGAGGGAAGATGAAAAGGTGAGGTGGTGCCATCTAGTGGTGGTTTCCCAACAACCCCTTCTGAAACCATAAAATTTTCCATAAAAATAGATTGAATTAAAGTCTTTCACTCATATTAAAAAAAAAAAACATCTCACTCATTTCTTAATGTGTATTTTATGTGTTTAGTGTTATAGCCTAGACTGAGAAGGAAATTCTACCAAATCATGGTAATTATGGGATGGCTCATGGTTGTTAAACCCGTTCTTTGGTCTTATCCTTGATGTTTCTTCGGCATAGTTTCTTGTCATATTTTGCATACAATGAAAATATGAAATAAGTTGCTTGCTAGACACCAGCACTGATGACCCCTCAGTCATTGAAAGTGATGAACCAAAAATGAACATTTTAGTTTAGAATTACACTAAAAATTGTCTAAATTGTGACACCTGATTCCTGATTGGACCCCTGATTTTTTAACTGCTTAACTGACCTGTATCCAGAGGTCAGTTGTTATCCTGTGTACTGACCATTTCAAACAGGTGAGGTATTTTATATTGTCTTTCATTAAAAAAAAAGAATGATTATAACTTGCTTAATGTATGTCACATAAACTTGTTTTCACTCTCCTTTGTTGAGGGTTTGAAAGATTTCGTGAATTTCACTTCTTTGTTAATTTAGAAATCAGAAAAATGAGTTTAAAAAAGCATTTAAGCAGTATCTCCAATGAAAATCATAGAACAACACAAATATCAAAATTCTCTTAAACAAAAGTACATGCACACACAAAGTTTTTCATAACTCACAACACAGAGTTCACAAAACAAGAAAACAACACGCTGCTAGTTGCGTAGTTCATGGTAAAGGGCACATAGGTCTGGTTTTACAGCTGCCAACATCGTGAGTGTGTGAAACTGACACCAGGTGGCTCTCTCAGCTGGGTGCTAGGAGAGGTAAGGACAAGACGAGCCCATGGTGGTGAGGTATTGATAACGGACCAAAATTGGTGGGACTTTTTTCCACCTTGAGTTTAGTTTCTGGAGGGAATATTTATAACATTACATGTTTGTAAATTGGCAATAAGTTTTTCCATTATTTTCACATTTATGCATATAAATTGAATATCCTGATATCGGGCTACATATTTTATAATTGCAAAAGAGTTGAATTTGTACAGTTTCAACTTCCAGTATTTTTTACTTGAAGGATTGAAGTGATAAGATTTGATCATGTGACAAGGGGGTAGTGGAATAAAATATAATGATAATATCTGTCACAAATTATGGCGCGACTAGGTACAGATAAATAAGTATACACCAAGAACTACATTAACGACAAAACATACCCGTACTTACAAGATGACTATTTTATTTACAAGTTTGTCCAACATTGTTGGGGAAATTTATGAGATATTTTTGTTAATGGAAACATTTGATTTACAAGCCATCTCTCTTGGTCAGTACAGTAAACTTCACAATTACACTTTTACACTTCTAATGATTTTCGTATTCTGTACACTAAATGTGATACTTGTACTTTCAGGAAAGATAAGCTGGCAGCCGAGAGGGAATACAAGAAGAAAAAGAATGAAAAGAAAAGACAGAGGCAGAAGCAGCAGGAAGAGGAAAGGGAAGACGAGAAAAAGAAATGGCAGTCCTTTAATGCCAAGGTTGGTATTGTCATTGAATTGTTGGAGTATTGACAGAAAGACTGTTACAGTATTGTTATTGCATCTCCTTATGTAATTTCTTCAAAGAAGGGGAGACTTTTTTTTAAGGAAGGGAAAAGGGATTATAAACTTTATTCACTGTTTTCTTAACATATTTTCATTAAAGGAGAATGTAAAACATTTTTTCATCGAAGGGGAGGGATTCCAAACCTGATATAAAATCACATGTACAATTGAAATATAAATTAAATGTCTGAGAGAAATTACTTTGTTTAAAAATAATAAAACATAAATATGTTTAAAAATAGTGCTCATTAATGACTTTTGACTAAAAAATTAGTACCGACTTTGTTTTTAGCTTTACTGTCTAGAGCTAAATTAGTGCTGGATTAAACAAAAAAAAAATTTAGAATGTTCTTTCAATATCTTTAACTTTCTCTTTTTATTTTCCAGAATAAGAGGGTAGGTTTTAATAAGAAGAGCATTTTTGCCACCCCGGAGGCTCCTACTGGGAAAGTCGGCGTTGGAACTTGTGGCATCGGCGGCAGACCTATGACAAACTATCACCAGAACGAGAAGTGGAAGAAGGGTCTCTGAGACAAACAATCCTCAATCTGAGTTCTTAAAAAAGAAAAGATCTTTTGTTGTCCTTATTATTGCTGTAGACATCATATCTGCAGTGTAAGGTGGGAAAAAAAAAACTTAAGACACTTGCACTTGTCAAGAAGAGTTCTGAATCCATGGCACAAAAAAAAATATGAATGTTTATACAATCTGCCAACAACTGGAGATGGACAGCCGTAGAAAGAACCCTGGACTTGTACGTGTGGACTTGCATGTTATAAAAGAGATGATGTGGATTCAACTTCTCCAACTCTGACTGGGTTGTCAATGGTGAATGTTAGGTGGGAGAGCTTTAAGATGTGAACACGTTGAACTAAGTTTATAAGGAAGGAAAATGTATCCCGATTTCCCACATCACTCGTTGCAGAAACCTGACTGCATAATTAGCATTGAGAAGTGGTATTGAGTATAAATTCTAATTTTTTTTTTTTTTTTTTTTTTTTTTTCAGAAGTAAGGAACTGGTTCTTTTATTCACATTTCATGATTGGAATACACAATTGTTGAAAAAAGAAGTTTTAACACATGTTAACAGTGTTAAAAGCCGGATGTAATGAATCATTTTGAAATAGTTTTTATTTATTTATTTTTGTACTGATTCTACAGGCCTTTGCTTTTTTATCGCAAAATTCTCATTTGACAAACATGTATGAAGTGAATACATTACAAAAGAAGCTGATACTGATTTGTTTTAGTTTAAGTGTCAAACGTATATTCTAGATATATCTAGATAAATCAGTCTGCTTGTAGTTGGAATAGTTGTGTGCCCCGACAAGAACGTAAAACATAACGCTAGGTGGCTTGTGGTGCCAAGACGAACTATGGGGCAATCCCCTATCTATAAGTGCAAACTTGAGGTGCGGTGTAGTGCAAGGCCGCATATAATCCAACCCTGTTGACTTGATAAGATGTACGAACCTTGCAACAGGGGAGGTGTACTTTTACGATAGTGAAGGTACATGGTGAAGGTCATTTCTATCAAGGTCATTGATACAGTGGAACTCTGAACTTGTGTTGCACCGAGTTGACATTGTTGATAAAGACTGAATAAGAATTTTAACCTGCTAGAACTTTATGAGTAACCCCTAAACAGATCTTAATACAGTTGCCAGCGTTTTTAAAACTAGCCACACATCGTTTCTGTGAAACAAAGCTGTGTATATTGTTTTGTGACCAAAAAAAATCACATGAAATAATGCCGATGATAACTAACAATTCCTTCCACGTGAGACATTTTTTATGTTGGAATATTTATATTTTTTAATACATTAAAAAAATTGAATACGACCAGATGTTCTGTTATTGTTTGCGACCGTACGCCGCGAAGTAAGATTTTTTTTTTTTTTTTTTTTTGGGGGGGGGGTGTCACAATGGGTCTTTCAAAGTTATGCGAATTTCATAATTAAGCCATTATACGACTAAATTCACTGTCTTCAAAATTCAATTTTTTTTCAATGGGGTATAGATATGAGGAATGGTGGCCAGAGAAATAATTAAATCGATTTAGATGTTGATTTCACAACGGCGCAACCAGTACGAGCTCGAGGGAAGGGGTGTAATACGTACCCCGCAGCCCCCCCCCCCCCCAAAAAAAAAAAGCAATATATAACTTGAGAAACGAGGGGAAAAACAATTTCCAGTCCATATGCCCCGTCTGCCTAACGAAGCGTGGTGAATGGAGGTATTTAATCTCGCGCTGCCCACAGCCCTAATAGACAAAACTTGGTTCAACCAGTTTTCTTGTAGTTTCAAACGGACAGCTTTTATTTTACCTTGAATACATAAACACTGAAACCCTGCTTTGACCTCTAAGTATTTTGGCCTTTTTTTATTAAAATCCAAACTGATT